AAGAAAGAAAGAAAGAAAGAAAGAAAGAAAGAAAGAAAGAAAGAAAGCACAACAAACACACTCCCTTCAAGAGAAAGGTCTGAGCTATTCAAATGGCTGCGAAATAAAACCAAAAGTGGTCTGGTAAAATCCAACTTTAAATCACTGATAATTTTGCACTAAGCTTGCAGCATTGTTTTATGACAAAACGGGGCAGGCAGCATATAGAGGTAGTCCTCTACTTACGACCCCAATTGAGCTCAAAATGTCCATTGCTAAGTCCGACCGTTGTTAAGTGAATCGCTGCACTTGTTTAAGTTTGTAACATGGTTGTTGAGTGAATCTGCCTTCCCCACGGACTTTGCTTGTCAGAAGGTTGCAAAAGGAGATCACGTGACCCTGGGACACTGCAACTGTCATAAGTATGAGTCAGTTGCCAAGCATCTGTGAATTCTGGTCACGTGACCATGGGGATGCTGCAACAGGCATAAGTGTGAAAAACAGTCATAAGTCACTTTTTTCAGTGCTGTTGTAACTTCGAACAGTCGCTAAATGAATGGTTGTAAGTCAAGGACGACCTGTATGTTGAATCCTTGGTGGGATGACAAATGCATTATGCTTATCAGCAGTGAGGACCTAACAATGTTAATATTACAGAGTCAGGAATCCAGGGTTAATCCCAATTCCTACTACAGTTTAAAGATGAAGCTGAAATTAGTTAGCATTCCTTCCTTGTCTACTACAGACAGTCCTCGATTTATAACTGTTGAGCAACCACGCCATGTTACAACAGCATTAAAAAAAGAAAAAGCAACTTACAAGAGGTGCTTGCACGTACACCTCTTGTAGCACCCCAAGTCATGTGATCAACATTTGGGTGTTTGGCAACTGGCATGTATTTATAAGTGGTTGAAACATGCCTGGGTCATATGACTGCCATGTGTGACCTTCCCAGCTGGCTTCCAAAAAGCAAAGTCAATTGGGTGGGTGGGTGGGTGGAGAGAGAAGCTGGATTCACTTAGTGACCGCACGATTCACTTAATATCTCAGGCATGACTCAGTTAACAACTATTTTGCTTAGGAATGGCCCCAACTGTGGCCATAAATCAAGGACTATATGTATCTCCTGCATGCAGTTCCCTACATCGATCTGCTGCAAATCCTATGGATAATTCAACTAACATTTAAATCTCAAACTCTACCTCAAGATAAACAGGAAAGGGGAACAGAAATGTTAATTGCGTTACTGAAAAACTGCAATGTACTTGATAATTTGGCCACTGGGAGGTGCAAGGACGTTCTGACTCCAATCTCTTAAAATGCTACTGAGCCTCCTCTTCCCGTCTGCTAAAATTTCATCCTGTTTTGCAGGCTTTCTCAACCTTGACAACTTTTAAGATGCGTAGACTTCAACTCCCCAAATCTCCCTGCCAGCAACTCCGGGGATTGAAATCCACACATCTTAAAATTGCTAAGGATGAGAAACATTGCTCTATTGGCTAGGTTCATGCTTCCTTTGGTAACCATGAAGAGGTCTAGGACCTTGAATCTTTTAAAAATGCTGAACACTCCATCCTGCACTTACAGGCTTGTCTACATCCGGGTTTCTCGGTCTCAGCAACTTGAGGTGGTGACTTCAATTCCCAGAATTCTCCAGGCACTATAACTGGCTAGGGAATTCTGGGAGTTGAAGTCCACCTATCTTCATGACGCCGAGATTGAAAAACATTGGTCTAACACAGGGGTGTCAAACTCGCTTTGTCGCATTGTCATCATGTGATGTATTGCAACTCCCCCCTCCTCGCTAAACCGGGGTGGTCGTGGCCAGCGATGAGGCATCTAGCCCACGGGTCGCAAGTTTGATACTCCTGGTCTAACACATATACTAGAAGGTTTCTTTCTTTCTTTCTTTCTTTCTTTCTTTCTTTCTTTCTTTCTTTCTTTCTTTCTTTCTTTCTTTC